CTTAATGATTCTATGATTCTATGATAAGTGCCTCATGTTGTGGAGACATTTTCCTTCCTGTTTATGTCATAGTCATCTGGAGGTACTTCCAGTTGTGTAGCCATGGCTATGGAAGAAGAGTTTGGACCAAACCTCACACCTCTTGCAGTTTGCCACATCCAGAGGAAATCCCTAAGCTGTTTTGATGCAGTTCACAAAAACTTTATATGATGATCCCTTTTCTAAATCCACCTGAAGGAGACAAAATTTTATTTACTTTGATTTCCATCCTCAGTTTTTTGACAACATGGTTTACAAAGGGGTGTATTTCTAGGATAAATCAGTACAAGATTCATTTTTCAAGAATGAAAATTTCCTCCGTACTCCCATTCTCAGCAAAATTTACTTGAAGAAAGGAAAGTTTTGACATTTTGTAACTCCCTGTCCTGAAGCCATGCTGAGTATCAATGATCTTCTAACCTGTGGCCTTGGACAAGTGTCCTTTGCTTACTACATGTTTTGCAGCAGCAGTTTTTAATGCCACATTGTAAGGTGCAGCTGCCTCTCCAAAAGTGATGTTTTTTGCTCTAGTTCCTTCTGGTAGTATACCGGCAGTCTGTGATGGGTGGCACGTGGTATAGACCAATTCACTCATCCTTCATCTTTAATAAGAGCACAAACTCCCCATCAGAAGCTGTGGGAGGAGAGTTGAGCTGTCCTTGTGATAACTTCCCTTCTCTCCCCTTCACATGTGGCCCCGAAGCCAGCTTTTCTGGCTGCTGAGAAAGAGGCACTTGATGAAATGGCAGCTGAAATTAAACTGTGGCAGGACAAAGGGGTAACAGAGAGAAGTACTTCTTGAAAGAACATGTTAAATCCTAAAGATCGCTTTCAGTCCAACACCTCTTCCACTCAGCTTCATGGTGAACACAGGTCATGGGGCTTTCACTGGTAATCACAAATAGTGTGGGTTTTTTTTTCCTGCAGCTGCTAAGAAAACTCCGCTCTATGCTACAGGCTTTTCTGTGCATGGCTAGGAGCATAGCATCTCCACAGCAGGTTATGAGTTCATTGTGTTTTAATATTGTCAGTAAATGATGTGGGAGACTTCAGAGTGGTTCAAGACATAGTGTCCCATTTTCTCAGTAACAAGGTAGGACTACTTTTGCTTGTGCTCTCTTGAGAGCAAAGTGAATTTGGTCTCCAGGCTGTCATTCCAGGCTCCTCCACAGAAGCCGAGAACAGTTAAAAATACTGGTGGAGTTATTTAAGTGTCCAGTTATTTGGACTCAGAGGACAAGGCCTCATCCCTTGGATATTTTAAGTCTATGGTCTCCTGGGGCCCAGGGAAAGAAAGAAAACTTTGTGCTAGAGACAAGCACTTTTCTGGCAGTATATTTTTGTTGAAAGCTCTGTTTTTTTCAGAGTTTCCCTTAGGCCAGGATGGTCAGCAGAGGCAGATGTACTTACAGAATGGCTTAGACATAATTATATGGGCTAGCCTCCCCATCAGTATTATGTCTTTAGGGAAAATAGACCAAGTTTTTAGTTTTGGATTGATGTTTTATTCTAGCATCTTTACCATCTTGTTTTGGCTTCTGTCTGGGACTCTGTTCAATGGCCAAAGATCTCAGGCAACCAAAATGCCAGGTGTGAAACTCTGATATAGCAATCTTGTCTCCTACTCAACACTTCTCGCCATCCAGGCTAGCCTCTGGCTTTTGCCTGCTGCTGCACCCAATATACTGAATGTAAGCCCAGAAACAAACCTCACATGGCTGTGAACAGGCAGTGGTTGGTACTGGGTGGGAATCTAGACCTGTTTCCACAGTGTTTCCAGGAGATGTATGATTCAGTGAGGTGCCTGCAGGGCAGACAAAACTTTGCACATGTTATTCTGTGAGGGGGACAGGTGAGTGGTGTTTGGTGTCTGCAGAAAGCTATAGATGTGCATACGGGTACTTGTGCTTAACAGGGTACATGTGGAAGTGAACTGATCCTGCATATATTTCTGTGTGTGTGTGTTAGAGATACTGGTTCTTGGAGTGTGCGTGGAGCACTGCCTCTTTCTCTATGCATGTGTGTGCACTGCTTAATGCCACCTTCACTTCTTTCAATCTTGATTTATAACCTGGATCACAACAGTTTTTATCACTCCCATAGCTCCAAGTTTCTTTGCCTTTGCTTCTTTCTAATAGTTGCCATTGCAACTTGGGGAATGGTTCCTGATCCTGGGAATGCTCAGTCCTTTCCTCATCAGCATCAAGCCATGTTCCCCACTGTTGCTCTATAACAACAAATTCTATAACCTGATGCTCCAGTGTGTGGAAAAGTATTCCCTCGGTCCCAAAAGCGTGTAAGTATGATCCTAAATGAAACACACTTATAAAAAAAGAAACTTGTAGCTACTTTTTAAAGGCTTCAGATTAAAAAAGTAAGACTTTCTTTCTTTCCTGGATTGTAAGCAATTTGACTCTTCAGACATCTTGGATCATCTGCTAATAATGTCCTCCACAAGCTCACAGTTTAGAAGGCTCTGGCTTTTGGCAATCATGATGATACAAAATACTCTTGTTTTGGTGTGTGCTTGTCCAAAAGTTTCTTCAAAAGCTCAAAATTACAACAAAAATAAAACAAAAAAGCACTTGGAATTTGACCTTACCAAGTATTTTTCAGGTTATATTACTGTGAAGAAAAAGATGGCCTCTTTTTAATAAAAATACAGACATTTTAGTGCTAGGGTAATTCTACGGTTAGTCATATTTTAGCTTCATGCTTGTTCAGTGGCATGACTTTTTACATCTGAGCAAATGTAGTTCACAAATAGAAAAGTTCTGAGTGACTGTGAGTGAATGTTCCTTGAGATTGAAGCTGTTCCTTGAGATTTCTTCTCGTTTTCTCATTTTGAATGTACATTAGCTCTGGATCTCCTGAGAGAGTTGCACCTATACATGTGATTTTCTGGAGAGTTGTGTTCCATCTCCAAATTAAATGCTGGCTATGGCCAACATGCATGGTGAATTACAGCGAATGCATGGACTTGTTCTGTTCAGGAGGCAGTCTTCTGTTGCAGATCCATCTGAAGATGTGCATTGATAGGTAGGTGTTTGAATGTTGGCAGCTGATTTAGGGTAA